TGTGTGTATGTGTGTGTGTGTGTGTGTGTGTGTATGTGTGTGTGTGTGTGTATCTTTTGGACTTACAGATTTTATGTCTCCTGCGCTTTTGCCGCACATGTAGCCGACTGTTAGTAGTGCAATGGCAGTTGTCATCAGCCATATTCGCTTATTGATCGGAAAAGGTCCGGAGCCCATGATTATACGATGCTATTTAATGAACACAACAAACACTGCAACATGGCATGGTGGATCAGTCACATATATACATATATACGCTTATAAAATATAGATGCTATGAACGGTTTTGGCCCCAAGTTTCTGATATCCTAAACTCAGCTGATATATTTAGAATATTCATTTACAATAGAGGGTAAATAAATGGACTCCACATATGCCTCTAATCCTCTATGGTACAATCTCCGAAATCGGATGTACATCACCCTACTTGACAGTTGACACTCGAACTTGTCTGAGCGTGGAAGTGATGGAACTCTGAGTACTGACCCTTTCGAGGAGTTTAGATAACGAAATCCCGAATCACTAATCAGTAATGAGCTTGTGTTGACTCTATAGAGTCTATTCACTATTCAGTACGCACTATCAAATTCAATATCGAGTATTGAATTTGACTCCTCTGGTACTAAATAGACACAGAGAGGTAAAGTGGTTATATCTTGAATTTTCATTGGATAACACAACCACATAATTTATTTACACATACGGCTACGGCGCTACGCAAGTCGCAAGTTCGCAACAAGACTCCGCAAGAGTCACACAATAAATTTCTTTTTTTTCATGTTTAAAAAACAACATTATTTTCAAGAAAAATGTAACAAAACATATCAGGTTTAAAATAAACGAATCGCCTGAAGAACACTGAAAGTACAAACGAACAAGGACAAAAGGATCGTGCGTACACATACGTGACGTTGTTGTTATTGAATACATAGGACTTGACAGTTGACAAGAGGAAACTCAAAAGCATAAAAGCAAAAGTACAGAAATGCAAATACATTTTCTTTTAAGGAAAGGATCGAGCGTGTATACGTAACGTTGTTGTTATTAAATAGGAGACCAGAGGAAACTCGAAGCTACTGCCGAAATGTCTGTCCGTGATTGGGTGAGTACTCTAGGAACCACCTCCGTCTTTCGATACACTTAACGAACCTATACATAGCATATTACGGTAGTTGATCGTTTCATATCATGCTATAGTGTATTGTATTAAATTATAGCATATGACACCATACTGTGTCATAATATATCACACTTTATCATAGCCTGAATGTATCAAAACGATAACAATACACACCTGTCGTTCTATGAGTATGAGTTATAGAAGCGTACCATTTAGATATATGTTGTCTCTTATTTTACCGTGAGTAGTCTGTAAATCTGCTGTACTTAGAAGGAGTTTTCATTCCATTCTACCTGTGATGCCATAGTACAGTAACTGCAAGTGAACACTTATTCTCTTCTCTTTTTCATCTCAATGAGTTTTGATAAGGTACATACCGTTATACGCACTTGAGAACAATCGTCATGCCGTGTACACAACAATACAGCCTTTTTTTCTAACTATCTAATGATCGCTGCTCTGCCTTAATATAACAGTCCTTTGGGAGAACGCACAGCTATCAAAAAAAAATACGACGCAATGACTATTCAAGTATATCATACACACGAGACTTTTTTATTGTGTTGCGTGTAAGTTGCGTTCACATACAACATCTACAATTAGCACCACCGGTTATACCGTTCTATATACAAAGACGTATACGTGAAATGCGAAGATATATGTATATAAATATATATATATATCTGTGTCTGTGTCTGTGTCTGTGTCTGTGTCTGTGTATGTATCCGTGTCTGTGTGTTGTGTCTGTGCTTATATATATATATTTGTGTGTGTAAGTCTGTGTGTGTGTGTACACATGTGTGTTTGATTGTGTGTGTAACTATGTATATGTATATGTATGTATATATATATATTTATATATATATATGTGTATATATAGATATATATATATATGTAATATATATATATCTATTTATATATGTGTATATATGTATATATATGTATATATATATATATATGTGTGTGTGTGTATGTGCGATCGTTTGTGTGTGTGTGTGTGTGCGTAAGGATATATATATATACATATATATATATATACATATATGTATATATACATATATATATGTATGTAGGTATGTAGGTATGAATATATATCTATATATATATGTATATTGAATGTCTGTGTCTGTGTATATATATATACAAATGAACATTAGCAAACATGTACATACGTATGGTTACCTGCACGTCCATCTGCATATTCAATATATATAAGTGTGTGTGTGTGTGTGTGTGTGTTGTATATGATATATATATGTGTGTGTGTGTGTGTGTGTATATATGTGTGTGTGTGTGTATATAATAATATATATATATATATATGTATGTATGTTTATTATATATATTCAAATAATCTATATATTAGTATCTGTATCTATATATATATATATATCTATTCATCTGTATGTATGTATGTATTATTTATTTGTTTTTGTTTGTGTATATATATATGTGTGTGCGTATTTGTGTATGTACATTGGTCGATGTATGTATTCATCTATCTAAATCAATATGTATATCTATCTATATATGTATGTGTGCGTGTGTGTGATCACATCTCTGCGGTCGTACCTATGTATCACGATTTTTTTACAATTGTATCTATTTTGTATTCTGCGGTATCGGATGTGTGTAAGTAGCTTGCGTTATCAGTCATATATCCGCCATATGGAATAGCGGGATACATTTTCTTTTGACTTTTAAAGTGGACACGTTCAGTCTATCAAATAATCCTTGCAGCGGGTTCGCTCGCTTGCAGTAGAATAAGTAATTTTGTCTGTCGTTGCGGTGGATGTTGTTTAGTATTGCGCGCGATGTGGATTGTACGCAAAGAAACCGACACACCCACCCTTATCGCTATTATGAGCATATCTGTACGCATATATGCTCATTAGTCGTTTGGAATGGCATTTTTATTCAGAACGAAATGACTGACCTTGCGCCTCCGTCCGATGCGGATACGGCCAAGCAACGCCTAGGAGAAAACGTACAGTATTTCTCTGCCAACTATGCTGTTATTATGGTAGCTGTTGCGATTATCTGCATGATGATACTAGGGTCGTCTCTGGGCGTTGGACTTGCTATTGCGCTGCTGGTGGTTCTTGCACATGCCGCGATGAAGGTGAGCGTGATAAATGGCTTTACATTCGGGACATACGTATGCGAAAATCGTTTCTGCAAATGGGCTCTAGACATCAGAACAACCCCTCTCCTCATAACATCAAAAAAAAATCGTTTCTTATGCATATTTTGAAATCGGATCGCATCCTTGACAAACCTATACCAAACCTTACATCATTTTGCAGCCACCTTCGTTGAAGGGTATGGCAGTAAACACTGGAAATGACATGAGGGACAGCCTGAAAGCGAAGATGAACGCAAGGAATTCTATGAAAAAGTCCAAACGTGCCGACTAAACACGCATATATATATAATTTTATATATATATTTATATTTATATGTATATACAATTTATTATATATATATATATATATATATATATATAATCTATGTATATATATATATACATATATATATATATTATATGTATATGCATTGTATTATATACATATATATATATATATATAACCAAGCGCCGCCACGGGTCATACATTGTGGCAAAGTCCACAAGAAGTATTCAAAAGGTCTCGATACCCTGAAGTATTATAAATTGGGCCATGCTACTGACATATCTTTCGATTGGCACAGATAACAATAAAGGACATGCCCATTCGGGTGACATTGTGTTCTCGGTTATCGTTAAGAAAGTTATTTTACAATATAACTTGTCCGGAAAGTATGGGTCCACATGCACATTGCCTGAATCTTTCTAGCAGGTATATAAACCGGTGGCGGATTTATGTGTGTGTGTGTGTGTGTGTGTGTGTGTGTGTATTATTATATTACTATATTATTATATTATTATATGTTATATATTTATATATATATAGATATATATATATATATGTATATATATATATATATATATATACATATATATATACATATACATATATATACATATATATATATATATATATGTATACATATATATATATATATATGTATATTCGTATGTATGTATATATTTTATATATATATATATGTATGTATGTATATATGTATGTATATGTATATATATATATATATACATATATATGTATATTATATATATATGTGTGTGTGGGAGTACACGGTGGTGTGTCTACCCGTGTGTGTGTGTACTCGAGTATGTGTGCGTGTAATATGTGATATATATA